GTCTAAGCTGCAGTCAAGAGGGGAATCTAATATAGGCCCTGGGCATGAGCCTATCAGTTTATGCATCTCTTCTGGAAGCACAGATGCTATTTTCAGGAAGGGGTGCTGTGTGCATTTTAAGCATTAGGATTAACTTCTGTTAATTCATAAAGATTTTACATTGTTGGGAGTCTCTGAACGAATGAATGAAACACAAAGCATTATAAATCATATAAATACACACACATACATACATATATATGTATGTCATAAGAAAGCATTACAAAGTTGCATAGTGGAAATCATTGTGCTAAGTAAAAGTGGAGACAGTCCCTGATCTCAAGGAGGGAGGTATATATAGGAGGTTTCAGGTGCAAGTAAGATTGTAAGGTCCCATAATCTTCAGGGTGTAGTGATAAAACAGATGGCAATGCATCTTCCTCCTTGTGTTTTGGGTTTTTTTTGAAGTGTCAGTGATGGGTGTGATGTTGCCACTGATGAAATTAAATCTTATTCTAATTCTTAACCATTTGACAATGCTAAGAACTTTGAAGTCACGAAATCCAATGTGTGCCCTCCCCCCAGGTCTTCCATAGCTGTGACTGTTGGTTTTTTTGGTTTGTTTTTTTTTTTGCTTTTTGGTGAGGCAGTTTGGGTTTAGTGACCTGCCCAGGGTCACACAGGTAGTGTCAAGTGTCTGAGGTCAAATTTGAACTCAGGTCCTCCTGACTCCAAGGCTGGAGCTCTATCCACTGTACCACCTAGCTGGCTTCTTTTTTTTTTTTTTAAGAGAGGCAATTGGGGTTAAGTGACTTGCCCAGAGTCACACAGCTAGGAAGTATTATGTGTCTGAGGCTGCATTTGAACTCAGGTCCTGCTGACTCCAAGGCCAGTGCTCTATCCACTGCACCACCTCACTGGCCCACATAGCTGTGACTGTTGAGGAGCCATGGAATAAAGAGCCTGCAGAAATGGTTTCCATGTCACATCTCCATAAAGACTGCTTTGTGGGATGGTGACTGGGGTAGGGGTTGGAAGGTTGGAAGTAAAACTTAGTGGTCTTGGGAGCAACAGCATTTCTAGGACTCTCGGGCTGACCAATCATCAGTGGCAGTTGGTCAGTGATTGGTGTTGGTGAGGACAGTGGGACCCTTTTGTAAGTAATTGTTACCCTGCACGACAGCAAGACTAGTCCTCTGGAGAGCAGTGCTACTCCCAGTGCTTCTGGGTTCAGGTTCTCTTGGGCTATCTCCAGTGGGCTCTGGGAGGAAGTGGTGGCCCGAGATGCTGGCGGAGATTTGCCTTCTATCCTTCCTCAACTTGTGGATTCAGCTGCAATTGCTCTATGACTAACATATGAGTCCTCTTTCTGGCTTGGCTGCTTCCCCCTCCCCCAACTTATGGGGACTAGGGAAAGCATCTAAATACCATCTTGTTCTTGTGACCCTCAAACTGAAACTAAAGTGTTTCTGAAGTCATCTTGTATTAATTTTTTATTTAACAATACAAAAGACAGTAATTACTTAACAGTAACAAATACAATATGATTTTTCTTTCTTTCTTTTTTTTTTTTTGGTTAGGCAATGGGGCTAAGTGACTTGCCCAGGGTCACACAGCTAGTAAGTGTTATGTGTCAGAGGCCAGATTTGAACTTAGATCCTCCTGACTCCAAGGCCAGAGCTCTATCCACTGTGCCACCTAGCTGCCCCATGATTTTTCAAAAAGATGTTTACTACATGCTATATAGAGATCACTAAGATTTAGGATGTTTGCTAGTACATGAAACATTTTTGAAATTACTTTTATTGGTACGAAGCAAAATGGAAAAACCGTTTTACTTACTCACATTTTAAATTAATAAGGGAGTTCAAATTGGTCTATTCCTTTAAGTGGCCTTTCTTTAAAAAAAAATTACTGGACTTTTCGTTCTGGGAAAACATTTATGGGACTGTTCCTTATTAAGCTTAATTGAGAAACATGTTCCTTATCAATATAAAACCTCAAAACCATTTAGAGTTGGGATTTAATCTTTCAATAGTGAATAAGATTTTACTTGTTTTTCCCTCTCTAAATATGACAAAAAACTTGCTGTCCAAGGAGCCCCAAAATGAAAAGTGCAGCTCAAACCTTGCCGATAGCAGTTATTCAGTGTGGTGTAAATAAAGCTTTAGAGTTGGAGTCAGAATACTAGCTGGGTGACCTCACTGACCTCAGTTTCCTCATCTGTGAAATGAAGGTGCTGAAGGAAAATCTCTAAAGGTTCCTTCTAACACTGAGTTTTATAACAAGGTAATTATTTCTTAGTTGATCGAAAAGTCAAACACTAATTCAAAACTTAGATACCATTTTGGGTATGGGATGTATTTTCACTTTTTATATGAATTATTTCAACCTGCATACTTATCATTCATTATAAATTGTGGTAGATTTTTCTTCTCCTCAACTGAAGAGAGGGCCCAAGTGAGGTGTCTTAAGGAACTCAAGAACCTTTGATGTTATTCAGTCATTTCAGTCATGTCTGATTCTTCATGACCTCATTTGGGTTTTTCTTGGCAAAGATACTGGAGTGGTTTGCCATTTCCTTCTTCAGCTCATTTTACAGATGGAGAAACTGAGGCAAACAGGGGTAAGTGACTTGCCCAGGGTCACATAGTTAATAAGTATTGGAGGCAAAATTTGAACTCAACAAGATGAGTTTTCCTGACTTCAGGCCTGGCTCTCTATCCACTGTGCCACCTAGCTGCCCAAGAACTTTTACATGGCAGAAAAATCAGTCTCTCCCTACTCAGAGTATCAGATATGTCCTGTCTAAACACATGTGAAGTGCACAGACTGGGACCATTCCTCTTCTCAGCCCAATGTTCTGGCCTTCCAGAGGTTTTCTGCTCTGGCACTCTCCCACCCCTTTCCATCTCTGTCTTCTCCTATATTTAGGCATTCTCTCCTTGCTCTTGGCTTGAAAACGGCTTTGGAATATACTCTCATGTCTCCTGATGCTCATATCTAATATGTTCCAGCTCTTCTCAGAGGAAATATTTATACATAGTAGAAAGGTAGTCAGTGGCAGTCTAGTTTATTGGAGAGAAAACCAGCTTTGGAGTCAAAAAGACCTGGGTTCAAATCTTATCTCTGGTACTCATTAGCTATGCGATCACAGTCAAGTCATTTAATTTTGATGAATCAGTTTTCTACTCTAGAAAATAAGGGTATTTGGACTCACTAGATAATCTCTCAGGCTTCTTTCAGCTCTATTATTCTATAAGGGATAATTATACCTACAATAACTAGCTCACAGAGTTCCTATGAGGATAAAATTAGTATGTAAAGCACTCTGTTAAAATACTATATATGTATACACACACATACACACACACACACATATACGTCAGCTGTTTCTACTACCACCAGTAATAATATCAACAGGAGGTAATATCTGCCTGCCTCAAGTCTCTCCAGCCCATCCCCCATTCAGCCATCAAAATGATTTTCCGATCATGTCACTGTCCCCACCATACTCGATAAATTTCAGGGGTTCAATATCACCTCCCGGCAATACAAAATCCTGTTTGGCATTCAAAGCCCTCATAGCCTAGCCCCCTCTTACCTTTTCAGTCTTGGACCTTATTCCCCACTATGTCTTCACTCCAGTGACATTGGCCTCATGGCTGTTCCACAATTCAGTACTCCCTCTCTTGGCCCCCAGCATGCTTTCTGACTGTTTCCCCATGCCTGAAATACTCTCCCCTCCTCATCTGTAACTACTGGCTTCCTTTAAATCCCAGCTAAAATCCCACCTTCTATAGGAAGCCTTCTCCAACCCCTCTTAATCCCAGCACTGTCATTCTCAATGTTTCTTCCTTTCTATCCTGTCCATAGCTTGTGCGTACACATCTATTTGCATATTTTCTCCCTCATTAGACTGTGCACTCCTTGAAGGCAGACACCATCTTTTGCCTTTGTGTACTCCAGGCACTCAGCACAGTGCCTGGTGCACAGTAAGTAAGTGCTGAATAAAGGTTTATTGATTTACTGACTGAGATGTGAAGGGAAAAGGTAAGGAAGGCAAGAAAAGCCATTATCAATTTTTATCCTTGTGATAGAAACAATGCTGCATATAGAAAGAGCACCAGACTTGGGAGTGGAACTCCTGGATTCAGCTACACATAAGCTCTGTGACCTGGGGTAACTCCCTTTACCTCTAATGACATGTATGATTAAGTTTCTTTCAGCACTATCACTCTATGAGTAGTAGGAGGGATTTAGGGCCTCAGATGGCAGGCAATATGGCAACACATCGTCCACCTTCCAAGTTACCTACTCAAACTTTAAAAATCACACACATCATCATAAAAGAATATTTAAGTCTTGGCCCATACCATTTCCCTTAATACTATACTAACAAAGAGAGGAAAGGGCAAAGCATTTTTTAAAAAATTTCATCATACAAAATAGGAACCATTCAAATTTCTTATAGCTGGTGTACTTGTGAAGTTATAATAAAAGACCAACCTTGAGCCAGGTGTAATCGCTACTACAAGGAGGCTGCTTTAGCTGGGGAGTTCTGAGCTGTAGCGGGCGCATCTAAAATTGACTGGGTGTCCACACTAAGTCCAGCACCAACATGGTGAGCCCCCCAGGAGTGACTGAGGATGGACAGACCACCAATCTGCCTATGGAGCGGTAAAGCAGCCCAGGCCAGAAATGAAACAGGTCAAAGCTTCCATGCTAATCAGCAGAGGTATCTGGCCTATGAAAGGCCAGTGTCCTTCCAGCCTGGGCAAGATAGGGAGATATGGCCTCAAAACAGACCTAGTTTGAGTACTGAGGAATTTTGTGAGACAATAAGCATGAGCTATTCATCCCTACTGGTAAAGCAATGTCAAATGCACCATACGCATATCATATCTAATTTTACCACAGCACAAATAAATGAGTAATTTTATTTTTTATATGAAACTCAAAAAAAAAAGAGAACAACTGATTGATTTAAAACAATAAGAAAGAAATATAAAGTAGATTACCTGCAATAATCTCCTTGCTTAGCAACCTTGGCCAGTGAGAAAATGCAGTCGACAGTTGCTAAGTGATGAACCGCTTTACACAAAGAGTGATAGTGTTCACTGAAATGACTGCAGAGGTACAAAAACAAACATGAAGAGTGAACACATTGATTTTTGATGGCTTGACTGGTCGTGTCAAAAATAATATCTTTATTTAACCTTTTCAGGCACAAACTCAGGTCATCTCACCTGAGGATGCTCAAGATGCACAGGAGATAAAGAGTCCCTAAATCTCCCATCTTATTTTTCTTAACAAGACAACTATTGGAAGATGTAGGTTCCTTTTTTGTATTGTTTGGGAGTAGAATGCTACATATTTATAAATATAAAATTAATAAAATACTGCATATATACACAGATCATGTTTCCATTTTTATAGCACACCCACCAATATTATAATTCCTTGATGTAGCAAGAATTTCTTTTTTGAAAAAACAATATCACTGTCCTATTTGTTTTCTATTTTTAAATCACATACACTTCAGAATATATCCCTTATCGTTCACCTAACAAAAGGGCCTTCTCCGGGTAACACATTTTAAAAGGAAGAGAAAAAAACCAGTTCAGCAAAACCAATCAATAAACTAAGGGTCTAATGGCATATGCTATACCTCTTCAGAAATGGACAAACAACAACAATAATTCCATTATCTCCAACTTTTGCACAACAGGATGCCAGATGTAGAGCTGGAAGGGAGAAAATATACTTAGATTTTTTAATGATGTAGTATGTTAATAAAAATTTAAGATGTGATGTTATACAAAAACTTTTTAGAAATTCAATTTGTCATTCTGAAAATATCATGGATAATTTCTCTTTGGGCAATTTCCTTTTCTTTTTTCACCATCGCCATTATTGTTTGTGTTGAAGGATGTCATTCTTGAAAACATCCTACGCCTTTTGAACTAAGCTTCCCTGTTGGGACTTTAAATCCTATCTGTCCTTTTCCTGAACCCTGAAAAACACTCCACCAAAATCTATGGTATATATGAGACTATACCCAGCACTGCCTTCGTTATCTGTCATAAACTATAATGTGGCACATTATCTTCCTCCTAAAGTTCTTACTATTTCTATTTCAATACTCTTATCGGTCCTGAGTATTTTATTTGGTATTGCTCAGAATCAGTTACAAAATAGTAGTTATTTTCATTGTTTTTTCCACCTTCCCAAGAATGAAATTTTCACCAAGAAAATCAAGAATTTGAAGGCTACGATGCTTTCAGCAAAAAGAGAATGCTCCATCATATATCCAGACAGATGAACTCCACCATGAATATTACATCATGCCTCCATATCTGCTCTATGATCTACTTCTGGGGTGGAATAAAAAATACCTCTTTATTCTACCCAGAGTGATTTATGTCGCGTGTGTGTGTGTGTGTGTGTGTGTGTGTGTGTGTGTGTGTGTTTTCCTGCTGGGTATACTAAGGGATGGGAATGAATTCAGAGTCAGGAAGACCTGGGCTAAAATTTTGCCTCAAAGTCCCTTCTAGCTCCAAACCTAGATCCTACCAAAGCAACTGTTGAAGTCAGAGTAAGGTTAGGTTGAGTTTACAGAGCTACAGAAGCAGGTAAAGTAGGGGAGAATTATGCAACAATGGATACAGTTGTGTAGTATAGTGTGTGGTTGTGTCAGAGACAATGATTAGCTTTGCAGAAGAGAGTGGGATGTGACTGATCTTCCCACCCTCTGACCACACAGCCCTTAGGGCCAGCCAGGCCTGAATGAGGCCCCAGTCCTTCCTTTGGAAGCCTCTATATCAGATTGGGCAGCTAGGTGGCATATGGATAGACCTGAAATCAGGAAGACACATCTTCATGAGTTCAAATATGACCCCAGACACTTACTAGCTGTGTGACCCTGGGCAACTTACTTAGAAAACACCAAAATGGGGTCACAAAGAGTGAGACACAACTGAAACAACCCAAAAACCACAATGTGCCAAATACTATGCTAAGTGCTAGGAATATAAAGAAAGGGCAAAAGAGAGGCTCTGTTCTCCAGGACCTTATGGCTCTTCATTCCACTCAGTAATAGCCAATGGTATTATTAATTAAAAAATCAATAAGAGAATGAAGACTGTACTATGCTTTCAGTATTGCCTGAGTCTGTGTGCCAGAGATAAAGTTTGCTCAGTCTTTGGCAAACAGAAAAATCCATTCTAGAAGTTCCTACGCCTATAATGATGGCTGGCTGAGTTTTGGATTAGATTCTGTTCCGTGAATATGAATTTAACTGAGAAAGGGAAATGTTTTCCTTCTTGTTTGTGAATACCCTTCTAACATGTTTGAACTTTGCTTAAGAGCTACTAAAATTCAATTTTAAAAGAATTTTAAAATGAAAAAGTTTCTGAGTCCAACAGAGCAAAATCTAGTACTTAGCCTTCTTTTCCAAATGCAAGCAGGAAACACATTTCTTTTTCACTCACTGACTTTTGACATCTTTTATTTCCTGCGTAGCATTCTGATCAAAAACAATATTAATGATACAAATGTGTGTATGCCAGGAAGACACAAATACACTTCATGCATCACTAGTATTCAATTCTTTGATGCTGGGTTCACCAGGGTTAGTGAAAAAAATAAAATAAAATAAATAACTCAGACCATATGGCATCTCATTAAACAGTGCTCATGGCAACCAGTGCCTTTTTCTCTTGGGAGTTCTCACTGCAAAATCACTGGTTAAATCTCAGCCAACGTTTATCTGTGGCAAGAGACAGCAGGGATGGATGCATGGATAACTGAAAAGAGTTATGTGTTCTAATCATTCATCAACTTAACTATTAACTTTAATATACTGTTCTATTAAATATCTTATCAGCAAAACTAACAAGTAGCCAAATAAGTTAATCCCAGTTTTCCTTGCTTTATCCCTCGATTCTGCCTAATAACTAGTGCAATTGCTAACAAATAGAGTAAAATATGTTTATTTGTTTTTAATTGAAAAGTATGCCAAAAGAAAGAGAAGAGAATGGTGTTAGACTTCCTTCCTTCAGTTAGTAAGTAGTGTTTGGTGAGTGCTACCCAAAGTCATTGGACTAGGCTGTGGGGGCTTAAACATAATAAGTGAGGCTATTGTTAGGCAGACTGAGTCAAAACCAAGTAACAAGGGCCAGGGTATTATGAGATAGTCCTTTCAGTCTTGAGACAGTATTCATCAAGTCTGCAGTGCACTAAAAGGGCCCTGGATCAAAACAGCTAATGAAACATAGCTTTCTGAAGCAGCCTGGAAAAATCCATGACCAGAACTGCTGTCAAAGACTTTGGTCTAGACCTACCTAATCAATAACACCCTGTGTAGCCAGCCCTTCTGGATCAAAATCATCTGACGAGGCAAATGCAAGATGAAAAGGACACCTAAGGTCTTCCATAGGGAGATATGACAAATTAGAGGAAGAAACTATAAAAGTCTCATAAAGGTTGTGTGAACACACCGAAAATTGGCAGATAAGCTTCAGTATGGATAATATGTTCAGAGAAAAATAAAATAAACTATATTTGATGTGCAACTCTGAACAGGAAAGGAAGCAAGGAGTCAATGAAAATTTGATGGCATCAGTTGTTTGTGTTACTGATGCCAAAAAAGAGTGACTATACACAGTGTGCATTAAGAAATGAAATTTCCTACCTCAGCACAGATCCATGAAAGTAGATCAAGTATTGGTTTTTAGGTTCTTTTGGTCAAGTGTTTTATATTTTTGGCAATTGTTTTATATTGGTTAAACATAACTAACAAAATTGTCATAATTACTATTGCTGTACTTAATCATTTCCCATTTTCCATTTTTAGATGTAAGTAACATTTAAATAGGTCAGATTGGAGTTGTAGGGTTTTTTTTTCACACCATACTTTTTCTCATTTCTATTCTTTCTTCTAGCTTTATATTTGTTTTATAAGTGCTGGAACAAGTCAGTAATAAGTCTGACTCTACACAGATAGCAGACAATGCCATTGCTCAACTAAAAAAATCTTCATTGCCAACTGCAGAAAGGATAAGCTTGCAGCCAAGGTACTCCAAGCTTTCCACAGGCTGGTTTCCACTATTTTTGTAGCTGCATGCTACCCCACTGCCCTTTAAACATTCTATGTTCTGGCCAGGCTGCACTGTTCCCTAGCTCTACTTGTCATTCCCTAAAACAAAAGTGATTCCTGCCTCATTCTCTCCTTTTCACTATTGTATGGCTCCCTGTCCTCCTGATATTTGTGGGAAATATCTTTTCTTCTTATACTGCAGGTTCCTAAAAAGCATGGTCCACAGCAGGGGTTTTTTGCCTTTTTTGTGTTAAGCACCCCTCTGGCAGGTTAGTGAGGTCCATGGACCCCATCCTGGAATGGTTTTAAATGCACAAAATACAATATATAGGATTACAAAAGAAACCAATTTCAATCAGTTATTAATTGAAATACAGTTATCAAAATATTTCCAAAAACCAAGTTCACAGATGCCAGATTAAGAACTCCTAATAGCATATTTTTAACATCCCCAGGACCTAAAATAGTGACTTGCACTTAATAATGCTTAATAAATATTTATTGAATTGTACTGAATTGTTCCCTACTAAAGTAGGAGGCAAAGTAGATACAGTACCAGGCCTGGAGTCGAGAAGATTCATCTTCATGAGTTCAAATCTTGCCTCAGACATCTATTAGCCGTGTGACCCTAGACAAGTCACTTACCCCTGTTTGCCTCAGTTCCTCATCTGCAATATGAGCTGAAGAAGGAAATGGCAAATCACTCCAATATCTCTGCCAAGAAAACCCCAAATGGGGTCACAGAGAGTGACTGAATGATTGAAATGATTGAAAAACACCTAAACAAGAATAAAAACTCCTTGAGGGCAGGGAGTGTGTTTTATCTAAACATTACATTTCTCTTAACAATGCTCTTCACACAGGAAAGACTTCATAAATGTCTGCTGATTTAAAAAAAAATTAATACCTCTGTGGTTTTCAGTCTGTGAGAATTATAATCACCTATTAAAATGGCAAGGGCTCGTGGAGTATGTACACACAGGGAGAAATGCTTGAGATACTGAAAAAAGAAAAGTTAATGACACAAAAATGAAACAACTATGGTGGACTTATCATCATCACACTGATCTAAACCTCCTAGAATTTTTCCTGAATTCCTGCTTTTATTATTGCTGTTTAATTATCTCGTAAACATTGGTCAAGGAATCCTCTAAAAATTCAAGCATACTCACTGATTGTTGTTGTTGTAATTGTTCAGTCATTTCAGTTGTATCCATCTTTCTGGGCCCTCATTTGGGGTTCCTTGGCAAAAATACTGCAGTTATTTGCCATTTCCTTCTTCAGTTCATTTTACAGATGAAGAAATTGAGGCAAACAGGGTTTGCAAACAGACTTGCCCAGGGTCACAAGGCTAGTAAGTGTCTAAGGCTGAATTTGAATTCGAGTCTTCCTGATTCCAGGTCTAGCACTCTATCCACTGTACCATCTAGTTGCCCAATCAATCTTATTGATTATGGGATGGCCAAAAAAATTGCTGCACGTGAATGCTGTGGAATATTATTTCGTTGTAAAAATAAAAATGAGTATGAAGATTTCAGAGACATATGGGAAGTAAGTAGAACCAGGAACAAAGTAGATGTAAAAACTAAAACAATGTAAAAGGAGAACAAAAATTGAATGCTACAGAATTAATTATAATGGCCACTAATGGCTGTGGAGGACAGATGAGAAAATGCCAGTCCCTCACATCCTTACAGAGCTAGGGGATTATGGGTGAGGGACACCGCATATGCCCTTAGACCACTGGTATGTATTCATTTGTTTTGCTTAACTTTTCATTAAGTTTTGCTTAACTTTTCCTTCCCCTTCTTTCTTTTCATTCTTTATTAAAAGTTGTCACTCATTACATAGGATGATTTACTGGGTATGGAAGGTGGAGAGATATATTTGGAAATGAAAGTAAAATAAAAACTAAAGATATAAATTAAGAAAAGAACTTTTAAAAATCCAGGTATATCCTACCTACCTTAGTTAATTAGTTCTGTAAATATGAAATAAATATAGCATGAAAAGGGGAGGATGTCACTCTATCTTGAGCGACTGGTTAAAAAGTATCACAATACTGAGGGGGGTTCACAACAGTGGGGTTATTAATAACTTTTAGGCAACATTATGCTGAGTATGACTACAAATGTGAAAAAAAAATCCCACCTCTAAGCTTAGCATTAACATAAACACATGACTAACATGGGCAAAAGTCAATGTAAGAGGGAATAGGAAACACTAGTTATTTACTACAAAGAGGATTTATTCAAAGAGATACTGCATTTGACAGGTGCTATACACTTAACAGTAGGAATGTGGTCACCTTAACATATTAGCTGCCAAAGACAACTTTTCTATGAAACAGTTTAGACAATATAGAAATACCCATATGGGTGTCTGGAAAATTAGCTAGTGGGAGCACACTATTTCTAGAGAATGATATCAAAATACATATAGAACACAGAAGAATAACCAATTATATACTCTGGTGTCCAGCAATTAAGACCAATGTAGAAGGAAAAAAGGCAAACTTGCTTTATTTCTTGTAAGGGAATAAATTATTCCCAGATTATTGACTCATATTTTCTCTGCTTTGGAAAAAATGATGAGGATGTGATAGGGTTAAGTAACAAGAGAAGGCAATGACTTACTCACTGACTATGTCAAATCCTCAGCCTCCAAATTTATAGTACTATAACAAAAATAAATGTTTATTCTGCAAGCAAAGGCTTTAAGATGAGCTTACATTTCAATGGATTAAAAATAAAATCAAAGAGCACATGTATTCAACTATTTCATGGCAGGCCAGAAGAAATCAAAGCAGTAATTTCTACTTTTCCTTTTGATGGAGAGATTTTCCGGTCTATTTCTCATAGCAAGAGTCAGATTATACATTTCATTGTAAACTCACTCTAAAAAATTTAGCCATTCAGTGTTGCAGTCAAGGACTAGCTGCTCCCGGAGCTGATTCAGATGTCTGTAATTTTCTACAATAAAAGGAGAGTGAAAGCGGCTGACAGCTTTTGTGCTAGAAGAGAGGAAAAACATAAATAGGAAATCAAGGTTACTTAGAAATCAGTAATACCATCACTTCAGAAAATTAGAGTAGTTCTTCATTATTCTCTGATGAACCTTGAAAAGTGATGTAAATAGGGAGCATTCTATTATTATGCTACTCAAATCTATTCATTTCAAAATCTTTATCATAAAGAAAAGCTCTTGGATTCTATAGAAAGGTCTGGACCAAAAGCCACTAAAAGTTACTCTTGAATATAAAATCTGTATGGTAAATTCAGTACTTCAAATGTTCAGCTTTAGCAATAGAAGGTTCCTTCTTATAAATTCTGCTAATGGAAGACCAGTTTGATTAGTAGAAATCCATATACAATATAACAAAACCCAATACATTAATTCAAAGTGTAATGAATGTGAAAGAAATCTTTGGAAAGTGAACTATATTTTCTAAATTCCCCATACAGAAAAATGATGCACAGTCATTGTTATTTTACCAGTCTTTCTATACATAATCCCCACATGTTCCCATGCGTCTTGACATTAGGAAAAGAACAAGGCTTGGGTAAGCTTTCTGATGGCAAGAACTGCAACTTGTCCTCTGTTCCCTTTCCATTTTCCCTGTCCATAGTGCAGTGGCAGCAATCAATTTTAACTTGGCAAGTCACTGTACCAAGCGGATGGATTTATTTCCTCTATCATACCACTTTAAAAGTCTGGCTCGCGATGTACTAACCTACCCTTCCTGTAGTGCCATCAGCCAAACAATAAGTTAAAAAAACTTGCAATAAACCTCTCTAAAAGCTCGGTTATTCACTCACTCAACTACCTTTCCTGAATGCTCAGAAGATGATTGATACCATACTATCTCATGCTTGTTTCTTTTATACTAAATGTGGTCTAAGTTTCTATGCAAATGCATTTTATCACAGCTCTCTCTTCTGGTATAAATGATTTAATGACATTCCAGTTATAGCTCTGAAGAGACTCCCATGATTCAATCTCAAGTAATTTCTCTGAAAATAAGACTTCTACTTACTAGCTGGAGGCTAAGATAAAAGTGGACTAAAAGGAAAGGAAGACAAAAGGAAGAATGCCTGAAAAGGCAGGGATGGGAATAAACAGATTTGGGAGGAAGAAAAGATGTTAGAATATCTGATTCTGATGTCTAAGACTTCCAAATGCATAGGGTAAAAAAAGCAAGGTGTTAGGAACTTGTAAGTCAGGTCTGGGTACTCTGGGGGCCTCTTGTGCTACCAGCAATAAATAACAAATCATTACTATAACAATTAAAATGATAAATAGGTCATCATTTCATTGTGCTATAGGCTCTAATCTGTTTCTGACACGGATAATAAGTGAAAGTGGTCTTTGCTGTCCCTTTTACAGCTCCTTTAATACTAGGGACCACTTTGCTCTTCTTTTTCCGTGATATTATCAAATCTGTCTAAAAAGACAAATGCCACTTCACTGTGAGTCCATAAAAGCTCAATACAGTAGGTGTAATTAAGGATAAGATAATTCATTTTTGTGAAAGATATTAATTTTGAGGTTAATTACTCACCTAATTAATATATAATACCATACTATCATTTGGTAACTCCTATCCTTCTCTGAAATAAAGCCCCTGTTACAAAGGTCATTGCTTACTCGAAAAGAAAAAAGCTCTATCTCTATTCTGGAACCAGATGCTAACATATGATGAATCTACTGGTGTCAATCTGCAGTAGATCTTGACACACTAGAATGAATAAGCTACTCTGTAATCTCATTTGCTATGAAAGCCACCAAAATGAAAAGGTTATGATTTATCTGAAGCTGGAAATTAAATTTCCACCTTATTTAAAAAGGCATCAGGCATCAAAAAAATCAAAATGCTCAAGCAGAAGAATCCCCCTTATCATCTGAAGGTTCCTATTATTTTTCTCATATACATGTCTCCAGTGAAGTCACTAGACTCAGCTCACTGGACAGAAACCATGAAATACTGATCTGCAAAATATCCAGTGAAGCACTTATATCAAAATGAAAATGCAGTTATCTTTTAAAATAACGATTAGAATGGCTAGAGCAATGATGCTGTTTATTTAAAAGTCCCCTACCAAAACCAAAAGACTTTGTTTTTAAGTTGAAAATTTGACTATTCATATTCCAATTATACATAAAAACAGTAAAGTCCTCATAAAATTAAATATAAGGAAAAAAATTTATTTTTAAACCTACCTTCCAACCTTAACCCAATCAGAGGGTATAGAAGATATGAGAGAGTTCTTTACTTCTATGAGAAACTAAAATAAATGAAAAGGAAATGTTGGATATTTAAGGAAAAAATTCCAGAAAGTGCTCAAAAATTTAAGATGATTTATTTTTAAATCACAAAAATTCTTTGGTTATTTAAACAACTGATTACTGTATATGACTGAACTTAAATTACAATTAGTCCTGGGTAAAACACTGACTAATGGGGCATTCTGGAAAGTCATTATTAGTCCCTGAGACAGCAGTGCCTGTGACACACACTCCACATCCTGTCTACATGGGTAAAGAAGCAAAAGGAACATGGATACACGTACCTAACCCTGAGAGATATACAAACCTGGCACTAAATATTTGTGGTGGGTATGGGGAGGCTCTGAGGAGATGGAGCGGTGCCCCTGGGGATAGGGCCAAACTATAGGAACTACTAAGTCATGAGTATATCACCTTCAAGGTACTATTGTCGTTCAGTCATTTCAGTCATGTCTGACTCTTTGTAATCCCATTTGGAGTTTTCCTGGCAAATATACCAGAGTGGTTTGCCATTTCTTTCCCCAGCTAATTTTACAGATGAGGCAAACAGGGGTAAGTGACTTGCCCAAAGTCACACAGTTAGTGTCTGATGCTGGATTTGAACTTGGGTCTTCCTCATTCCAGGCCTGGTGCTCTATCCACTGCACCACCACTTAGCTGTTTCTAGGTACAGTGGTATCTAAAAAGTGATCCTCCAACCAAAATAATTGCTTATTCTGATAGTAAATGGGCATAGACATATTGGTATCAGCTGCAAGTTAATATATCCAAATCACTGCAATGCATAGCATAGAAATCATTAAATCTTAAAGCCAGAAGAGATCTTCAAATGTAAATTAATCCATTCCTCTGTAGAATTCCTCCTTAGTGACCCTTCAGAAAAGGTCTTGACCCTTGGCATTTTTAGAGAAGGAGAGTCTATAACAACTTTTGGTAACTCACTCAACAATAACTATTAGACAGTCCTTTTTATCTTATCTGAATCCTTTAGGTTGCATCATCTATTTCACCTTGTTCTGGGCTTAAGAGATTGAAAATAGAATCACTATTGTCTTCTTAAGAACCTTTATCAAATTGCCTAATCTTCTCCAAGGTGAAAAATCCTGTAATACTAATAACTTTTCTTCATCTATCTTAGTTATCAGTCCTTCAGATCACTTTCTTGGTTCCTTTTCTGAATCCTTTCTACTTTATAGTATACTAATAGGAATGTTGAGTAAAAAATGAGGGTGACTTTGTCCAACATAAGTCATGTAATTCTACTACCTGATCTCAGGGTTACATCTGCTTTTAAAATGGAAATGCCAAAATGCTAACTTGGGATCAATTTATTTTTGTCCATTGTTACTGATAGATCTTTCCCTGCCATTTTTCTGCATTTATCAATATTTCACTATCAATCCTACGTACAGCTAGGTTGATTTTGGTAACAATGCTCTTTTGAAGAGGGAGGAAGCCAAACTTAAATGTAAGATATTAATAATTTTAACCCTTAGAGAAATTGGCAATAAAAAGGATGGTTTAAGCATAAAAGAACATAAGACTCATGCAAGAACTGTAGACTGTCATTGAAGATTGTCACTTACTAAACACTTGAAAATTTTAAATGATCACTTATGTTCCACATCTATTCTGAGAAAAGAAAGCAGAACAGAAATCAATATAATAATTACGTAAAATTACACTCCCTCTATTTCCCTTGGTCTCTTTCCTCCCAAAAAAGAAACATGAGAAAGTTTTGGGATTAGCTTTACAATGATGCTTTTAAATCGTAAAAATCTGTTTTACAAATTATCCAAATTAAATTTATTCCCCAATCACAAGGTTGCATTTTTCAAAGTCTCCATATGGAATCTTCAAATTTTTACTAAATGTAAGAGATGGAAAAGCATTATGGCTTATGGACTCTGGAAAAGGCTAAAAGGCTGCATCACTTCCTTTAAAAGTAGGTTTCTTTTATTTCTTATTCTCTTTAATCTTCAAATCAGAATATGGAATAATGATGGTCAGCATTTTGCAGGCTGTGTAGTATTCATAGATGTACTTGACCTTACACAGGAGGGTTGCCAGTGAGCCAGTGTGGGACCCTACATAAGGTCGTTTTTTCATTAAATTTCATCATCTTTAAAATGGACCCCCCAAAAAAACCTGTACCTTTTTCAAGAATGTTGTGTGAATGAGCTTAATACTTACTGTCATCATTCAGTATTCTGAAAGCATTCGAGAAGTGCACGAAATCACAAAACACACTGACCATGTGCCCTTCAAGAAGGATTCACATGGATGGGAGGCTACACATGTGAAATTTAAAGAGACATCCACACTTGAAGCATTTGTACTGAATGAAAAAAGATTCCAGATTTTAATTCCATTAATACATGCAGGTAGATAGCACAGTGGACTGAGTGCTGGGCCTGGTGTCAGAAAAACTCGAGTTCAAATCCAGCCACAAGTGTGGCTGTAGGAACCCAGGCAAGTCCCTTAACCTCCTACTGCTTCAGTTCCTCAACTGCAAAAGGGGAATAGCACCTATCTCCTACAGCTGTTGTGAAAAGAAACTGAGATAATATCTGTAAAGCGCTTTACAGACCTTAAAGCACTGTACAAATGTTAGCTATAATTATTATTAAAACAAATTAATCTAAGTCTCTCTAATATCACAAACTTGTTGAAATATCCCACTACAATAAGGAAATCACAGTTGATAGACATTGATTATAAAAATTCTTCCTAGTGCAAAACATGCTTTATGTTGATGTTCATAAGTTTCTATATGGTTCACTATATGGGTTACCACAGAAACTCTCAAACACCCATCTTATCTTGATGAAGTACTGAAGTATTTCCATACAAGCAGCAGTCTTCCCCTCCACAGCCTTAGATTTAGAGGGCATCTAGTCCAACCTCCTTCTTCTGCAGATAAGGACACTATGAGCCCAGAAGAACAAAAAAAGAAGGAGCCATATAGGGATCTGAAACTCGCTTCTTTGCCTTCAAATCCCCTACTCCTTCCAATGTAGCATGATGATTCTATGAACAAGTACTTAGTGAATAATGCTCATGAACCAGAATAGGATTCTATAGTTATTTTTAAAATTATTCTAGGGGCAGCTAGGTAGCACAGTGGATAAAGCACCAGCCCTGGAGTCAGGAGGACCTGAGTTCAAATTCTATCTCAGACACATAACACTTACTAGCTGTGTGACTCTGGTCAAGGTGCTTAACCCCAATTGCCTCACCCCCCAAAAAAAGTTTTTCTAACCATTTCAAAAATTTCACAGTTTTGCAAGCATTCACAAGAAGCGGCTGTTAAGATAGGGCAAGGTAATAAACGCAAAATGACTTCTAAACACATGCCACAGTGATGAAGACTGTTTCTGTGACTTTGAGCCCCCTGAAAGTGCACATCAAATCTATTGAACAAGACAAGATGTATCAGGCGTGGGGAACCTACAGCCTCGAGGCAACATGTGGCCCTCTAGGTCCTCAAGTGTAGCCCTTTCACTGAATCCAAACTTCACAAGACAAATCCCCTTAATAAAAGGATTTGTTCTGTAAAACTTGGACTGCCAAAGGGCTGCTCTTGAGGATCTAGAGGGTCACATATAGCCTCGAGGTTGCAGGTTCCCCACCTCTGGGATATACCATGTTATAAAAATATGACCCAATAAGAGGGAAATTCTAAATTTTTATGATTCATCTCTAAATCACAGTAAAGTGAGTAGGTTGGGCTAGATAATCTCTAAAGGGCCCTTTCAGCTCTACATTTTAGGAATCTATGAAATATACATCAGGTACTTAAGAAGAGGATCCATTCCGTATGATCAAACCAAAACAGAATGCAGCATTATTTTCAGCAGCCAGATTTTCTGACCAGCTGTACAAAAAGGTAGTGCTATCAGAACTGTTCTTTTCAAAACTATAAGGTAGCAAAACAAATTCAAGAAGTTCAAGATAATGTAATAACAAGATTATTTCTCTCTCAACAAATTTTCACTTCATTTGGCAAATGGCTTTCATGGAAATAAAATTCAGTCAAGTATAGATTCATATTACCTCCTGTCCCAACACTGTTTTGTAATGTGCAGAAGGATTTTTTAGTACTCTTCGTATTTCTTGCAAATGTAGATTGATTTTGGTGGTAACCACTTGTATTTCCTCTTTCCTCTTACTTATTGAAGGGAAATCTGTGAGGTCCTTAAACAACTCAGTTTTATCTCCAATCCTAAAAAACAAAAAGTATGTTTGTACTCATGAAGAATGAATGTCTTGTGAGTGGGCAGAATGTAGTGCAATTAGTACTAGGCTGAAATTTGTCCACAAATAGTGTCCACGATTACCAATATGATCTCAGAAGAGCCCTGTAACCTTTCTTATCCTCAGCTAAACTATAAAATAAGGAAGTTGCACAAGATGATCTCTATGATACTTACTACATGATAACTTTGAACAAGTCATTTAACTTCTTTTTAACTGAATTTTCTCACCTATGTGATGAAGAAGATGGGCTGGATAACCTACAGGGTTGGTTGCTTTCTGCTCTCAATCTTATGACTGGTCCTTTAGCAATGAGGAACAGTCACTGGCATCTTTGAAAACAACAATTCCAAGAAAAGAGTAGGGATGGGTAGGTACCAGATTATAGGAGTATGAAGACTGGCAGTGGGAGGAAGTCTGCTCTGGACCCAACTTGTCCATCTGTGCTTTCTGTCTCAGATACTCATACTGATGAAAAAAAGCTCTACAGCTTTATCCATCCCAATGCCTCTTGTAATCTGGGTAATAGACTATTCTTCACACATGTAGTCTTTGAGAATTTTACCAGTGAAGGGAGATAACCTAGAGAATGAGAGCTAAAAAAGATAGCCTGGTCAAGGGAAAACATTTTTGGGAACATGAAATCTAAATACATTTTATGACAGAAAAGTGCTCATAGATAGAAAAAAGCTAAATATACACGACAGAAGAAATGAATTCAAACAAGGTCATAAAGGAGTCAATACAACAAGTAGAAATGTTAGCCATCTTTTCCTCTGAGACTGTGGGGAAGAAGATATGGGTGAGCATAGACAAAGAGTGTTTGAAATAGCACCATTCCAAGGCAGTGTGATATAATGGAGTAACAATGCAGACAGACTCAAAAGCCCTGCGTTCTAATTTGCCTCTGACATGACCTGGGTAAAGTACTTTGTAAACCATAAAAAATGGTACAAAAGTTATACAACTGCATTGGACTAAGTACCATTAAGATGATTTTTATCTGCTTTATATAAGAGACCCACTTCACCTGCGGAAAATCTGCCTCTAGAAGTTAGAATCTGGAGTTCCTATTTATGAAACAAATGGTGCACAGCCAGCCAGCAAACACAGATGAGATGCCAATAGGATAGCACCATTTGGGTTAAACAAGCTACTCAGCTTAGCTCTCCCTATGCCCGCCCTTCTTATGTGAATCCTGTGGGAAATCCCACAGCCAGCAGGGTTGGTGAAATGGCAGCCAGTTAAATTTTTATTTCCAGCTGCATCTGGAACTATTTAACATTTAGAGTCTTCAGTCTAGATCTTTAGGATCTGGTCAGGTTTCTCATTTCAAATACATACAAATGCCCACTGCCACCAAGGCAGACTAGAAAATATACATGAAATGACCAATATGCCTAACCATCTTTTTTTTCATTTGAGGCAGCTTTTGTTTTTATATTGCTTTCATTTCCGAATATATCCCTGCTCTAACCACTAAGTTTCAAACAAAAAATTAATGAGAAAAAAAATAGTTCAACAAAAATCACCAACACATCAGCCAAGTCTGACAGCACCCTACCCCCAGAGCCCCCACCTCTGCCAAAAAAGAGAAGAGTCTATTTTCTCACATCTTCTGCAGGGTTAAGTGTGGTCACTATAATTATACAGCACACTGAAGTGAATGGAAAGAAAAACAAGATCAGTAACAACCAACCCAATGACCCTAAACGCCAGGTAATCATGATGACCAAATGCCCCTGAAGCCCTCCTCCATGGGTCTCCACGTGTCCATCTCCTCCTGTCTGTGGTGAGGGGGGACTCTTGGGGTCTCAGAGGATGCAACATCGCCACCTACCAGGAGGCTGACCCTCAAGGGAAGACTTTAAACTGTGTAATCTCGTGTCTTCTTCAATGGATCTCTTTTCTAGTACCTAACATTTTGCTTAAGGATCTGTATCTGACTGATACTCATTCTTCCATGGTTAGCATACTCCCATTCCCTTATACTTGCCCCATCCGAAGGCTTCTCAAATCCTGGCTACAATGTAAAAACCTCATTCACCATCCTCAATTCAATGCACTCTCATGCCTATCTGTCTGAACATCCAGTGTTACACACCAGATCGGTCTGCCCCTTTGACTGTGTTGGCTAAAACTCCTATTCCATAACTAAGAATCTTCCTTTCATGTTAAACTTTTTTTTCTTTTCTTACTCCAGTCTTCTGACCCTCATTGAGACACAGTTCCCTCCTAATGAAAAACCACTCTCCTTACCACCCTTGGATGCACTTTCTCGAATACCCATTGACTTACTCAGTTATGATGTAAGTCCAAATATACCTTGTTACCCACTATCATTTCCAGGCTCTCTTATCACCTCTCCTCCTTTAAAATTCATGCTATCCAAATTTATCATCCAATCCATAGTCTGATAGCTGTTATCTATTGAACTCAAGCCATTCTCCTTCCTTCCTTCCTTCCTTCCTTCCTTCCTTCCTTAGGTTTAATGTCTGGCTCACAATCTTTCTTTCTTGCCCTCATATTAGGGGACTTCAACCTGTGTACTGATACTCTCTCAAATACCCTAACTTCCCAATACTTCAGTCTACTCAACTCCTATGACCTACTCCTCCATTCTGCTTCAGCTCTCCACAGAGATGGTCACATTCTTGATCTCACCACCTACAAGAATTCCACTTCCTTGTTTATGAATTAAGAAATTTCTTTGCCTGATCAAAATAGTTTATCATTCCACTTTTCTCATTCTTATGGCCCTTAACCATGTTCTTTTTCCTCTCTATGACCTCCAATCCCTTCAACTTTATTTTTTTCCCAGGCCATCACCACTGCAGTGGCTATACTTTCTCCTTCCTTCCCTATCTTCAACTCCTTGGTGAAGCATCTCAACTTTCCACTATCTGCTACTCTTCAATACCTTGATCCCTTGTCTTATCACCAATCATGATTTACCAATCCCCAGCCTTGGATTATTCCCACCATCGGCTTTCTTTACTCAGTTGGTGATGAATGGAGCCACAGGAAATGAAACTCCGCTGACTGGGTCCATTATAAATTTATACTAGCTTTTCTCAACCAGGTCCTCACTGCAGTGAGGCAAGCGTTCTATTCTTCCCTAACTCATTTGCTATTCCACTCTGCACAACAGATATTTGAAAAAGTTTCATCTCTTCTGAAGCCTCCCACAGCACCCCCAATCACTATCTCAGCTGAGACTCTTGTCATATATATCTGAAAAAATGCCCTTTCTCTTCAGACATCTTCCCTCACTATCCCTCCTTTGCTTGGAAAGAAAGAGATGGTCTTTCTTCTTGCCAATGCCAAGCCCTCTATGTGCTCCTTTGATCTCATCGCCTCCTGTCTTTTCCAAGCAGATCACTGTCACTATCCTCTCTACTGTCTCTCATCTACGGTTTCCCCTTACATATTGACTCCTATTGTTTTAAAGACTTTTATTTTCATTCCTACAATAATCACTCTCTCAGTTATCATCCTTTATCTCTTAGCCTCCTTCAGGGCTAACTTCCACAACTCACTGCCTCCACTTCTCACATTCTCTTCTAAACCTTCTACAAAATAAGATTCCAACCCTGCTGTTCAATTGACCCTTTCCAAAGTTACCAATAATTACTTAATTGACAAATCTAATGCACATTTCTCAATACTTATCCTTTTCAAGTTCTCTGCAGTATTTGACACAGTTGATCACCTTCTCTTAGATTTCCTAGTCTAGATTTTCTTCCTAGCTTCTTCTCTGGGTTCTCGTGACAAAACTTTTTCCTGGTTCTCCTTACATCGTTCCAGCCACTCCTCAGTTTCCTTTGCTGCTTCTTGGCCCCTCATCACAGCCAGTATTCATGGGTTTTCCCCCAAGCTCAGTCCTGAGCCTCCTCTTTTGCTCTATACTATCTGACTTGGTGATATCATCAGCTCCCATTGGTTCAATTATCACTTCTATACAGTTGATTCCCAGATAAACGTATCGAGACCTAGTATCTCTCCTGAGCAAAAGTCACACTTCACCAGCTGCCTTTTGGTCATCTTAAACTGGATGATGTGCCACGGGCATCTCAAACTCAACATATCCAAAACAGAACTCCTTATATTCTTGCATAAACTGCCCCCTCTTCTGAATTTCCTTATTACTACGAAAGGCACAGCCGTCCTCCTACTCACCTAGGCTGGCAACCTCAGTATCATCCATAACCTCTCATAATTCCCAAGCTTCTAATCAGTTGCCAAATCTTGTCATTTCTACCTTTACAAGTCCATCATATGTCTCTCCAATCATATAAGCACAGCTTTAGTTCAGACTCTTATCACTTCCTATCTGGACTACTGCAATTGCTTTCCAACTGGTTGCCCTGCCTCAAGTCTCTCCCTACTCCAACCCATCCTGCACACAGCTGCCAAGGTGATCTTCTAAAGCAAAAGTCTGCCCATGTCACTTATTCCTCTGCTCAGTGACTTTCAGTGACTCCCTATTACATCCAGACCAAATACAAAGTCCTCTGTTTGGTGTTTAAAGCTCTTTATAACCTGACCTTTTCCTATCTTCCCTGTCTTCTTACACTTTATTGCCCTCCATAAACTCTATAATCTAACAGGTATACTCATCTACTTTCAGTTCTTTGAAAACAACACCTCATCTCCTATCCTGGCATGCCTGGACTGCTCTTACTGGTACCTCTGTAATAGGCCCCTCAAGGCCAAACAATTACTAGCACCTTCCCCTCTCAGATTACCTTCCATCTACTGTGTGTGTGTGTCTGTCTGTCTGTCTGTGTGTCTGTGCGTATTACACATGCCAAGTTCTTTACATGTTGTCACCCCCATTAAAATACATGCTCCTTGAGAGCAGGAACTATTTTTGCCTTTTTTTTTTGTATCTCTAGCACTTGACACATTAATAAATGCTTGTTGACTGACTAACTGAATCACACACACTGTTTTCCTGGTTCTATCTACTTTACCCTGCATCAGTTTAAGTCTTCTCTTGCTTCTTCAAATTCTTGCCACTAACTGTTCCTCAGGGGATAATAATATTCCATTACATTCACCTACCACGATCTGTCTAGCCAGTCCCAATCAATGAGGCCTGCCCAAATGAACTTTTTAAAAGAAATAACGAATGGTCTGATACTTACTTGGCAGCTTGTTCATTGAGTATATTGAAAAAATGCTCCACTGGGTTGAGATGCTCAGGTATTTCCAGAAGGCACTGCTTGAGCAAGTCTGATTTAACTTGGGAATTGATAGCAGGAATTAATGCTTGAATTTCTATCTTCAGGTGACACAGGGCTTTAACAATCAAGAAGAACTCCTGGGTGGAACACTGAAATTGAAAACAGTTTTTTAACCTAAAGAATGTAAGATACCTTAAAATGAAATTCAATGATTAATCAATCATTTTAAAGTTGGGCATATTTAAAATCACCTTTCTGGTCAGTGTATCCTGCCACATAAAAAACTTAGCCAATTAAAATAAAGGCTTGCCTATGTAGTAAATATCTAGAAGAGGAATGTTTTAAGGATATAAATGAAGTGATTTTAAACCCAGGATGTTTTTCATTTTTCAAAATGCATTTCAAAAAACACATTAGAAATGTCAGGAGTGGGAAAATAAATTCAAACGATATGCTGAATATAATTTTAATTTCTTTGAATCTTATCTTCCTGCCCTCTCACTCTTTTGTTTTTCCTAACAAAATAAACATGACAAACATTCATTGACAACTTGTTTTTTAATTGCCTTTTTTAGTAATTCACCAGATTTTTACTATCAGTTACTATCCTATTTATAATCACATGATTATTCAAGAAAATAAGGAAAGGGCAAGCCTTCTACTGTGCTCTGAACATTAATATATTTACTTATTAGATTTTCCAGACTTGGAAAATGACTTTAAAGACTAAGACCCAAGGAAGAAGCAAGAAAAGCTATTTTTGCAACTTTAAATCTGCTAAAGCTGCATCTACTTTTGTTATATAATGTAACAAATTCCATTCAACTTGTTTTCAGAAATTGTTACTTTTTTTCTTCTACAGAGATATCTAACAGCTCACTCTAACCCAAAGAGTTTGCAAGGAGTTCCACAAATTTGCTCTGTGCTGGATCAGAGCTAGGAGAGATTAATGAGCAATTGGAAGCCTGGGGCACTAGAAAGCTAAATAATTTGGACACTGTTACGCAGGTAGCAAGTATCAGAAGCAGGACTTGACTCTAGCTCTTCCTTATTACAAGGCCTGACCGCTATCCACTACATGATGCTAATCCTTGTTGAGATAGAGTCTAAGGTATACCTGTATCCTCTCCATTTTGCTCCACTGTGTTATCTACAAATATGGATTCTAGGACAGTTCCTTGTTACACTAAAGGTTTGGTTCTCTAGCTCCCTGTTTTTCTCTTCCCTCTGCTCCCTATAACGAAGGCAAAATGTATAAATCACCAAGTCTGTTCTCAACCACAAGGGTTACAAAATAACTCACCTTTTAATCCTGGGAAAGAGACTAGGGAAAAGTTGTATTTCAGTAAAAAATCTGTACAATGAGAGATCTACTTCAAAGAAATACCCAAACAACAGTATTTGGCTGGGTAGCTTAAAAACAAACACACACTCCAAAAAACAAAACCAAAAAACAAACCCTCCCCGCAAAAAACTACAAAAGTTTATTTAAGTGGTGAGAGGAAGTTAGGAATGGCCTTGGTAGAGAAAGGTAATGAGTTTTGTTTTGAACATGCTGAGCTTGAAATGCCTATGGGATACACAGTTTGAAATGTTCAAAATGTAGTTGGTAATGCATGACTGGAGGCATCTAGGTGTCTCAGTAGATAAAGCACTGGGCTTGGGATCAGGAAGACCTGAGTTCAAATCAGGCCTCAGACATTCACTAGCTGTATGACCCTGGACAAGTCATTTAATTCTTTGTATTCCTTAATCCACTGGAGAAGGAAATGGCAAACCACTCCAGTACCTTGCCAAGAAAAGTCCATATGGAGTCACAAAGTCGGACACAACTGAACAACAATAACAAATGCAAAATGGAGGGTCAAGAAAGAAACCAAGGATGGATATACAGATATGGGAATTAAGCTTAGAGATAACTCTCCAAAATTGCAGCCCATTATTCTGAATATCTCTTGGCTATAAGCTGTAAAGTGCAGCAGGATGTTGTGGCCCCAAAATTAAGCAGTTGTCTAAAACTGGCCTTTTGGAGAAGCAAATTAACATGGTAGCAATAACATAAAGGCACCAACATTATAAAGAAAAACAACTTTCAAAGTCTTAAGAACTCTGATCAATGCACCAGCTACAATTACAGAGAACTAATCATAAAGCATGCTACTTACTTCTTGACAAGGAAGTGATTGTCTCAAGGTGCAAAATGAGTCATGTATTTTTGACCATGGACAATGTGAGTATTTGTTTTAGTTACACATATTTGTTAAAGGAGTTCTTTTTTCACCTTTTTTTTCCCCAGTTGCAAGGGGATAGGGTTTAGGAGAGGGGAAATCTAGTGACAGCATAGCACCCCTTCAAAACAAAAGAAAGTAAAAGGGGTCACTGAAGAATTTTAAGAAATGCACAAAAGAAAACAGAAGGAAAGCTAAAAGGAAACATAGAAAAGCAGGATACTTTTGAAAGTTACAACTTAAATTTGTTAAATGCCAAGGAAAAGCAAGCCATATAAAATAAAATAAGTTTCTTACATAATTCTCTTTTTCTGTTATATTTTATTTTAAAAAAAACACTCGTTTTATTTGGTATGTGTTAAGTTCTGAATAAAATAAAATTTTAAAACTACTGACCAGTTGGGGACACCAAGTTTCCTTCCTTTTCTCTCACATAGTATAAATTAACGTAGTGTATATTGATACATAAAAGCAAACACACACAAACTATGTTTGTAGGATAAAAAGGATGTATAATTTTATTTTTCTTCATGGGTAGTACTAAAGTACTGTCCAAGAAAACACTAGGTTTCGACCTTCTAAGAAGAGGCCTATAGTGCATTTCAAGTTAAATCATCTGAGTGGGAAGTTAACTGAACCAGTGGCAAGTTTGCTTTACAGATTCTTGACCCACAACTCAATCATGCTACCAATGTTGCTACCAATGTTGCTACCAGTGTATGGTAACATGACAATATGGCAATTTCCAGAAAATTACACATGACCATCAGATAGGATGCAACAGAGAAACACAGAATAGTGGGCATCAGTAGGCTGTAACATACAACCAATGAAGAACTCTGAACAAAAAGAGAAGTAAAAGATGGCATCGAGAAACTAAATGGAGAAAGAACCAGCTAAGGTTTAGGGTGGACACCTGTGGTGCTGTCAGCTTTCTTTACCACGAAAGAGGTCTTTTTGGACAGTCACTCAATAAACAGAAAATTTTTTCTATTTTCTTTTTTTTTTAATTTTAGACTTAAATACTAAAATTTAAATACACAAGAAAAAAACAAACATTATAAACTTAAATACAAAAGGAAAAAAGTATTGTCATGTGCACAGCATATAAATTTCCAATTTCATGAAAGCCTATATAATAAATACTACAGGTTGTGTTCTGAGCTGTCCATTTTTTCTTTGCTTCCTTGTAAGTTTTATTTTGTTCTCTACTGTGCACTTTTTACTTTGTTTCTCACCCTCCCCACCCAGAAGGATATAATTAAGCACAGATATATTTATATATAGATATACATATACACATACATGCACATATACATACATAGCCATATACACACACAATATATATATATATATATATATATATACACACACACATACCCTTATATATATATACACTTACTTATGCATACATGTATTTAGAAATCTATAATCATACTCATATATAGATATATACTTAGACACACGGATCCATGTAAGACCATGCTATACTTATTTGTCCTCTGTTTCTCTGAGGGTGGATAACCTCTTCCTTCATAAGTCCAAGTCTTTCCTTATTTTTCCAAATCCACCAACTTGTTATTTCCTACACCACAGCAACAGTCCCAACCTTATACTGTCTAGTTATTTTAAATAGTTCAAAATAACACTGATGAATACAGCTGACACAAAGTGTAGTTTCCCTAGTTTTCTCTTTTGATTAAATCTATTCTAGCCTTAACTTTGTCCAAGATCATAATTACCAGCTCTGTTCCTTTTTCCCTAACAAATTCTGCTCCTGATCTTTATTTTACTTGTGCATATCTCTTATTTCCTATCCCTCCTAACTCCTCTACTTTGCTTCTACCTGCTATTTTGCCCTCCTATTACTTCACCTTCCCCCCTTTCGGCGATCCCTCCATTATCTTCCCATTCCATTAATCTAAACACCTTTCTCTATGTCTCTTTAACCTATTCTCTCACCCTCCCCTCTAAAGATCTCTCCCTTATCCTCTCCCCACTCCCTATCTCCTTAGCGTTTTATTTCTTTCTGAGTTTAGAAGACTTCTATACTTTTCTAGATATATATGTATTGCTCCCTCTTGAACTCATTCCCAATGAAAGTAGGTTCCCAGAACAACCAGCCCTCCTCCCCCATCTAATTCCTCTGTGTTGGTTCTTCCTCTCGCAGCTCATTTGTATAAAATAATTACTCTTTTTAGCTATTCCTAAATGGTTTTACTTTTTACAATCATATCACACTCAGGTCTACCCCAATCTTGGTTATGAACTACCCAATTACTAATAACAATATTAGACACAGGATTTACATTTCCTCATAAAAATGGTAAACAGTCTGTCCTCATTAAGTCCATCATAATTAGACTTTGGTATGTGCCTTATATTTTTCTTGGCTCTTATATGTCAAATCTTCTATTAAGTTCAGGTTTTGTTTTTGTTTTTAACAAAATCCTGAAACTCTGATAATTCATTAAATGTCCATTTTTTTCATTCAAGATTATACTTAGCTTTGCTAAGTATGATATTTTTGGCCAGAACTCCAGTTCTTTTGCTCTTTGATGTATAGTATTCCAAGACCTGTGGTCTTTTAATGTCATCTCTGCTAGGTCTTGTGTGATTCTAACTGCAAAAATGCCCCGTTTGAATTGTTTTTTTCTTGTTGCTGGTAATATTTTATCCTTGAGCTGGAGGTTTTAGAATTTGATGATGATATTCCTGTGGGTTTTCCTCATAGATCTCTTTCAGGTGGTGATCAGTGGATGTTTTCTATTTCTACTTTCCCCTCTTATTCTAATGCTTCAGGACAATTTTCTTCAATTATTCTTTTATTATTCTATCAAGATTCTTTTTTGATCATAGCTTTCAGGTAGTCTGATTACTCTTATGTCTCCAGATCAATTGTTTTTCTTATGAGATGTTTC